AGATCTGCCTGTTCTGCTCCCCACTCTGTCTCTGGTGAAGCCTCTCGCCGCCCCTGCACCTCTGGCCTGTACCCCAGTTCTGTATGCACAAATAAATCTTTTAAAAAAAAGCATTTTGATGAGAAAAATCCCCAAAAAACCTTTTCAGCTAGTGGCATTTTTAATTCACAGGTTTCTTAAATACCTAACTTACAGAAGACAGCTGCATTCTGCTTCATTTAATAAATGAAAAAGGCAGAAATAATTTGCTATAAAGATTTTTCTTTATGCCTACAGAGCTGGGGTACAGGCCATAGTTGCAGGGGCAGTGAGAGGATCCACCAGAGAAAGAGCGGGAATCAGGACAGGCAGACTGAAGAAGTACACTGTTGAGGGGACAGTGGGCGAGACATGTACATCACCTCCCTGGCTGGGGATTAAACTTACGCTGAAGTGGCTATGGCTAGCTCGCAGTGCGCTTTAACCCATTGCACCACTAGGGAGGGCCATATGCAGAAATCATGTTAGTGCTATTATGAAAATATTTTTGACCTTGAAGAGTTTCTGAAAAGGCCCGTACTTTGAGAGCATTGCTTGTGGAAGGACCCATCTTGGGTGGCCTCAATGCCAGCCCAGTGTTGCACAGGGCCCCTTCCTTTAACTTAAGTTTTTTAATCTCTTAGAAACAGCTTTCCATTTGGTTTCTTGGCCTCAATACTTAACCTCGCACATAGCTTAGGAATCGACAAGTGCTGCAAATCACAAATGGAACACATCTTTCATTTCTGCATTTCCCTTTTCTTGAGCATCTTGGCCCCTTCAGTCCTGCCATAGGCAGTTTGTGATTATACGATTATACGTGTGAGTTGTATCTGCACACATATACATCTGTAGGTTATATATGTGTACATGCACAATACATCTGTAGGTTTGACTCCCAGAAGTGAAACTGACAAGTCTTTAATGCAATGAACAGTTGCGTGATGAAAGCTGTATAACCTAACTGCCTTCCATGGTGTTGTGGCAGTTCATCCTCCCATTAGATTGTCTGACGAAGACTTGCTGGTTTTACCTGAATGGCCTAGAGGCTATGGCCAAAAGGAGAGGGACAGGGACCTCCCTTTTCTCACTGACCCCTGCACTGTAAGCCAGGACACACCTATGCTCTCTTCCAGGACACATTTGACATCCGGATCCTGATGGCCAAGTCTGTCAAGTACACGGTGAACTTCTTAGAAGCCAAAGAAGGAGATTTGCACAGGTATGGTACCCGTCTTCTCCTGGGCAGGTGGTTGGGGCTGCCAGATGTCTGCCCTTCCTGGCAGTCCCTGTCGGTTTTCCTAGCCACCACTGTCCTTTGCTTTCCAGGATAGAAATCCCATTCAAATTCCACATGCTGCATTCAGGGCTAGTTCATGGTCTGGCTTTCTGGTTTGACGTCGCTTTCATTGGCTCCATGTGAGTGCATTTGAACATGCTGCTCCCTGCCCTAGCCCTAACCCCAACCCCAGGGAACTCCCTGTGGTTGTGACTCCTAAGCCTAGGGGCTAGGAGGACAGGACACGACTCCTCCACATTCCCCTGTCCCTTCTAAAAGGCAGCAAGAACTGGCCTTCAAGATAGACTATTTTTCTTTTTAGGGGGACTATGGGGGTGTTTACTGTGTTGTGACTTGACAGGTCCTTTGTGGGATCTGGTCTGTGTGTCTTTGGACACCTATGTCACCATATATACATGGGTGGTCAGTCTGTTCCAGCTCCGAGGCCCTAGGGGATAGGCACCTGGGGAGAGCTCCGGATACACAATGGTGGTTCCAACTCAGTCAATGTGCACCTCTCCCTGCTTGGCAGAATGACCGTGTGGCTGTCCACAGCCCCAACGGAGCCCTTGACTCATTGGTACCAGGTCCGGTGTCTGTTCCAGTCACCACTATTTGCCAAGGCTGGGGACACTCTCTCAGGGACATGTCTGCTTATTGCCAACAAAAGGTACAAGGTGCCATCCAGGGCTTGGGGGAGGTGAAAGGGTTTCATCCATTCTGGGATCTTAGGGCTGCTCTCCTACCCTCCACAGACAGAGCTACGACATCAGTATTGTGGCCCAAGTAGACCAGACGGGCTCCAAGTCCAGTAATCTCCTGGATCTAAAAAACCCCTTCTTCAGGTAGGATGGGCCCTTGGCCGATGTGGGGGTGCTGCCTGGCTCGCAGCCCCTCGGCCCTGCCCACGGATCCATCTCTGCTGCAGATACACAGGCACGACACCCTCGCCCCCTCCTGGATCCCATTATACGTCCCCCTCGGAGAACATGTGGAACACGGGCAGCACCTACAACCTCAGCAGTGGGATGGCTGTGGCAGGTGAGCAGACCCCAGTGGGTTGGGTTGGCAGCAGGCCATTTCCTGGTCACTCCTGCCAGTGCTCTCTGGCAAAGCTGGCATTCTGGCCCCTTGCTCCCCCAACAGGACCTTGTCCCCCACCCCTGACATCTCCCTCTCTGGGCACAGGGATGCCAACAGCCTATGACCTGAGCAGTGTTATTGCCGGCGGCTCCAGTGTGGGCCACAACAACCTGATTCCTTTAGGTGAGTATTCCCCTGAGTCTGGGGGTGGTGGGTGGTGCCCAAGATTCCCTTGTGCTTGGGCCTTCTGTACCACCTTTGCCACCAGCATGTTCTCTTCCTGGGGTCTCCGTTCCTCTCTGCCTCGCTCTGCCGCTGCACTGCCCTTCCCACACCCCTGCCTGAGAGTGAAGTGTGAGCACCACTGAGATAAGAAGGTGACCAGGGCAGGCTGGGGGCGGTGACACCGTCTCCCTTCCTTCCTTCCTCCTTCTCGCTGCGCAGCCAACACGGGGATTGTCAATCACACCCACTCCCGGATGGGCTCCATAATGAGCACAGGGATTGTCCAAGGTAACATGGGCCGGGACGTGGGTCCTGCGGGTGTGAGTGTGCCTACTGCCAGGCCACCTGCCCTCTTGCCTGCTCTCTTTCTCTCTCTGACTCTGCTGTGGGTCTAGGCGGGCGAGGGGCCAAGGCTTGTCCCTCAGTGCCCATGCCTTGTTTCACAGGGTCCTCAGGTGCCCAGGGCAGCAGTGGCGGTGGTTCAAGTGCCCACTACGCAGTCAACAGCCAGTTCACCATGGGTGGCCCTGCCATCTCCATGGCCTCACCCATGTCCATCCCAACCAACACCATGCACTACGGGAGCTAGGCCCTCGCAGCAGGACGGACTGACAGCACCAGGAAACCAAATGAAGACCCGCCCACCCCCTTCTCTGCGGCGGCTTTCACCCTTATACTGGAGAAGCCCAAACACCAGTCACAGCCCTCTTTGCTATGGGAACTTGGACACTTTTTTACACGAACGTTGCCGCCGCCGTCCCCAACCCCCACATCTTGGCCCTGAGCGTGTGTTGCTGCCATGTTTTACACAAGATCATACCATGGGAGCCCCATTCCCCTTCCTGCCCTCCACCCTGACCTGGGTTTGACATCTACCATAATGGGCGTGTGTGGGCCTGGTAGCTGCCACCCAGTTAGAGAGGGCAAAGGGGAACAGCTGCACCCACCCAGTCCTTCAGCGCCAGCCCCCCTGCCTGTCCCCAGTGGGCAAGCAGCCCTGGCCAGGCGGGGCCTCCATTCAACTACCAGGCCTTGGTCACCATGGGCGTGACATGCTGCTTTTTTTAATTTTATTTTTTTACGAAGAAAAAAACCAGTGTCAATCCATAGACCCTCTGAGAACCAGGCCGGCCGGGCCGAGCCAGCAGCCCCTTCCCCTCCACCCCCCCCATTCAGAGGCTCAGTGAGGAGGGGCAGCCCTGCAGAGGTTATGGGACTAGGGGTGGGCCAGGCCTCTGGAGCCTCAGTGCCCCCTCCCACTAAAGGGTTCACCTCACACTTGAATGTACAACCACCCAGCTGTCGGGAAGGCCCCTGTCCTTGGCCCTTGCCTCTTGCTGCTGTCCTGTCCCTGAGCCCTATAGGTCTCCCTCCCACACCTGGAGCTAGAACCGGCCCTGCCGGCCCGGGCCTGAGGGGAAGAAGGGTCATCATCAGCTGCCTGAGGCCCGACATAGAAACCTCAAGGATCTGTCCTGGAAGGCATCCTTTTTCCTTGTAGTTACATTAGGCCTGTGTATTTCCCTCACTATTTGTAGACGCTCCAGTCCCAGTCCCTACAACTATGATGGCATTTGGGTCCCTCCCCAGCCTGGGAACAGGCCTTGCAGGGACCTCTCCCTCCAAAAAAAGAAAAGGAAAAAAAAAAAAAAAGCCAAAACCACCTAGAAACAAAATAAACAAGGAAATGTATGTTTCAGCACAGGCAATTTTCTTCTACTTCTGCTCCCCATTTCTAGCACCCCAAACTCAAATGCGGAGGAGCACAGGCTAGGCCAAGGCTCTGTTAATTGGTCATCCTGGGAGGGCAAGCACAGTTGAGGCTGAGGTGGCCCTTTTGCTCTCCCACCTATCCCACCAGGGGTAGCAGAAGGCCCAGCAGGCAGCCCAGAGCCTCCCTGAAGCTGCATCCTCCTGCCTGAGCCACACTAGAAGGTCCCTGCTCAGCTGTCCCTCTCCCGCCTTTATATAAACTCTCAATCACCTTTGCATAGAAAATAAAAGTGTTTGCTTTGTAAGAAAAGTCTGGAAAGTAGAGAGTGATCTTGAAGTGTCAAAGGAGCCACTAGTCGTTATCTGTGGGGGCAGGGCAAGCACAGGTGTCCGCTCATGTGAGGCCTGAAAGAGAGAAACTCCTTGCAGTGACCCCATGATCTCTCCCATGGGGAGGGAGTCTGGAAACTCCCTCAGCCACAGTTGGAGACAGTTTCTTACCTGTAGGTGGTCCCTTCTTAGGTTGACATGGACGTTGGCAGAGTAGATGGTAGTTGTGTATTTGGAGTCAGAGATGTAGTGTGGAGTGGAGGAGCCATATTCTCTGGAGGCAGTGGCTGAAAGAAGTAAAACTGAACCGAACCTCCCCCCCACCCCAAAGGTCAGTGTCAGGATCAGTGGGCCAAATCCCAACCCAAAGGCTCAGCCCGTGACCACCCAGAGCTATACCTTACAGCCCATGGCCAGGAGAGCATGAAGCAGCACGATGGTGGAGAGCAGCACCGCGGCCACCAGCCTGGTGTCCTCACGGACAACAGGCCAGAGGGTGAACACCAAGCCGGCAGCTGACAGGGCCAGGGCCAGCGCCCCAAAGAGCCACTGCAGCCATGGGATGGGAATAAGCCACAGAACCTGAGGGCAATATGGATACCAGGCTACTGAACTGTCCCCACAGCACCTGTCACCCAGTAGTCCCCCAGCAACACTCACCACAGTGGGGATGAAGACAAAGAGGGAGTAGCCGTAGACACACACAGTTTCCAGGAAGGTGTAAGGGCCCATGTGGTCCCGGGTGCCCTGACGCCACCGCAGGAAGCCCCACAGTGCCAACGGCACCAGCCATGCATAGCAATAGATGGTGATGCCAGCCACAGTCACTGTGGGTTAAGATAAGTAGTCACCCCTTGGAGCCTGTGGCACCTCCAGTCCCTCCAGGTGCTGTGCTGAGCCTGCTGTGCTTACCCTTGTGGAACTGAGGGCTGTAGTGGATGGATGGGTCCCTCCTCTGGGCCAATACTAGGGTGAGGTTGCCAGTAATTGCCAAGACAAAGGCCAGGGTGGCGCAGATCCAGAAGGGACCTGTGGATCAGGTGTGGTCAGAGTCCCAAGCCCAGAGCTCCTGGGACAGATGGACCTGTGTTGTCAACAGCACTGAGAGATTTCCCACCTCTACCCAAGCTCCAGGCTGTCTCCACCCACCCCATCTTGCTCACATCAACTTGTGGCTGAATCCCAACCTAGTTCTCTGCACTCACTTTTCTGGATCTTTAAGTCCCTTGGAGGGACTGGAGGTGCCACAGGCTCCAAGGCTGAGCCCCTCCCAGAACACTGCCATGTGGCTCCTATGACTGCTGTCAGCTTTGCTCTGACCTCACTGGCAATTCCCCAGTCTTTGTCTCCCTGCCCTCAGGATGGAGATGGGAGCCCAGCCTGCTCTCCCGTCCACCTTCACCCCTGTGTGATCCAACCTCACTACTTACTATGTCATAACTACCAAACATATCAGGTACTCTATGCTGAACTTTGGGCTTAAATCCAATGCCTCCCTCAACACTTCCTACAGTTCTTTCTCCTCAAATCTGCTTGACTTTCCCATCAATAAATAGATCCATCTTTGTAGTAGTGTGGGCCACCAACAGTGGCTCTGCTCCCCCCCCACAGCTAGTGTCAACAAATCTTAAGAACTCCACCTTTAAGAGCCATTTCAGAATCTAACAACTCCTTCCACTAGGACTAGGCCCTACCATTCCATACCTGGTACATAACAGCCACCTCTTTCCTGGTCTCCCTGTTTTCTGCCCTCACTGTGGAGGCCCCATCCCATCCCTCCCCATGGCCCAGGCACCACAGTAGCCACGGGCAGCATGAGAGCACTTTTAATTACAAATCCTTTCTCACCAATATAGGAGACCTGTGCAATATCCCATACATCTAAAACTTCTAGAGCAATGACAATGCGGCCCTGCACTTTGGGTATGTTTCTATCATAGGGCCTATAGCTTTTCCGGAATGTTTTTCCTCTATTTACACTACACCCCAACCCTGACACCAAGGCTCAGAGGGGCCCATGTTCCATAACCAACCATGCAAAACACCCACTCGCCTCAAACCATTTGCTTCTCTCTCTCCCTGGACAGAATGTCAAAGTTCCATGCTCTCTGTGACTGCTCTGTATACTAAGATCTGTACTCAGTTCAAATCTGTTGCGTGAATAATTGAGTAAACTAAACACACGACTATACTTACCATATAGGTCTGGCCGATTCCGCAGGTGGTGCCGTACAAAATTGTGGCCAGGTCGGGGCAGCATTGAGCCTTTGATTCGTTCCAGGACCTGAGGGCAAAGTCAGGCCAGCAAGGAAACCTGCCTGAGGGCATCCCATGACCCACAGGAAAAGAGCCAATCTCCTTTGAAGGCCCAAGATGCTTGTTCCCTATGGACTTCCCACCTCTATCCATGCTCTGCTGAGAGCTCAGCTCTTCCCTCACTTTTCCCTCTGGGTTTTTGATGGGCTCAAGCCCCTTCTGTGTCAGTTCCCACCACTCACTGGGCCTGTCATCTTCATGCTTCACAGGTTGGTTACCCTGGCAAAACTTAATGCCTCTCCCCCTAAGCCCCAAGCTTCAATAAGGATAGTCAATTATTACACAGAGCATTCTCCTTCATGTCTTTTCAACAACTCTGCAATCCTGGTTTATGATCATTTCCCACCTTAGCCTGAGGCATCCCATCTACATTGTACACTCCATGCTACATGTCGACTCATTGTCATCCTTCTCTATAAACATTCCCAGGATTCCCCCAGCACTCTCAGAATAAAACCCAAATAGCTCCTAAGGCCTTTTATGATCTGGCTTCTGCCTATCTGTCTTCCTCATAACTCTCCAACCAGATTCAGTACAGGTAGCTACTGTAGCAGCTCATGTCTCTCACCTTTGGTTCTCTGTATGTGCTGTTTCCTCTCCCTGGAACATACTGACACTTCCCTGTGCTCAGCCTGACTAGATCTTACTTTATGTCTCAGCGATTCCTCACCTCCTAGGGAACACATATAACACGTGTTCCTAAAAACCCCAGCCATTCCACAGTCATTACAACAAACCCCAATTATTTCTAAAAGCCTGGGCAAGAACTCTTGTTCTCCCACATGGGCATGGCCAGCATCTTGCCCAGGACTGGTACACAGGAAGTACTCAGTGAGCAGTGGCTGGACTCCAAAGGTGACTCCAAGCCCCATCCCTTCAGCTTCCCAGGCCTGACCTGAGATGTGTCCACATCAAAGAAACTCTGATAGTAGCCAAAGGTCCAGAATCCAGGCTGCTGCTGCTCCTCCTGTAGGAGCTACACAATGTGGGCTTTCAGTGCCTGCCCTTGCCAAATAGGTCAGGTGCTGGGCACAGGATCTATGTGACTCACCGCAGTCTTGTCACTCTCCTCATCCTCAGCTCCGTAGTTACCATCTGGGCCCACAGTCACAGCCACATGGCCCTGTGGGGTCAGTTGATCATTTCTGCTTGTGGTGACTGCATCAGGGCTTTCAGCCAACAGAGTAGTGGCTTCTTCAAACTCTATCAAGAAGGAATGTAGGTCACAGACATGTTTTGAGGTTCAATACAATTTGGTCTGACCCACTACTCATTTAATAGCCAAGACTCGGTGGCCACTTCTGTGCTCTACCCAGCAAGATCTGACTTTTGCAATTCTGGGGAGTGGGAAGGTGTTGCCTCACTGCAGGCATGAGGCTGCAATTCAGGGCTGGTTCTGGCATTGGGTTAGGGCTGCAGTCGGGATTAAAGGTCTGAGTTCACAGGTGGAGGCGGGTCAGCTTAGAAGAAAGGTCTCCTTCCTGTTCGGGGTGTCGGGTCGACAGCTGATGAGGGGTCTGGTTAGGTGTGAGCTGGAACGTGCACGCCAATGGCAGGGCTGGGGCTTGGGCGAGGTCTCGGGCACACTCACCATGGAAGGCCAACTCGTCGACAACTGCCATCGTCTCTCGCGGGGTCACCACATCCCACTCTAAGGACAGAAGTCAATCAGGGCCACCCTCAGGCCTCTTCAGTGGCCCTCCCGGGGTCTACCATTCAGCCGTGGGTCCCGGCACGCTGCTAAAAGAACCTACCCAGTAGAGCATTCGCGGCCCCACAGGTGTATCCCGCCCCCTCACCTGAGGTTACTTCAGTCGGCGTCACGCAAGCTTTTGCGCGTGCGCGGCCCGCCCACCCGCCACAGGCCTACGGGAACCAGAAGGCAACATCCGGGGGCGGTCCAGTTTCTATTCGCTTCCGAAAGGAAGCCACTTCCGGTGACAGAGCGCTTGCGCGCGAGAGGCTCCCGGGCCTTTTACTTCATATATTTGACATTTCCCGTGGTACTCCAGTCGCCCGTACAGAAGAGCATGGCGACGGCTGCTGTGAAGAGGTTTTGGTCCCGAGCTTGGGGAGAGGCGGGTGACTCAGCGGCCACGAAGCCGGGCGTGTGGGCACGCTTGGGTGAGTAGCGGCGGCAGGTGACGAAGTCGGGGGGGGGGGTCCACAGGAGCCGAACCGTTCTCACCGCGTTTTTCTCTCTCAGGTATCTGGGCCCGCGCGCTACTCCAGGACTATGCCGAAGCCTGTCGGGACACTGCAGCGGCTGCGCGGGCCCGGCCCGGCCGTGCGGCCGTGTACGTAGGGCTGCTGGGCGGCGCGGCGGCCTGCTGCGCCTTGGCGCCGAGCGAGGCCTCCTTCGAGGAGGCGCTGCTCGACGCCTCCGGGACCCTTCTTCTGTTGGCGCCCACCACGCGCAACCGTGACTCCGAAACGTTCGTGCAGAGGTTGCTCTGGCTGCGGGGCCGGGGCCGCCTGCGCCATGTGAACTTGGGTCTAGGCTCACTAGTGTACGAGGCACCCTTCGATGCCCAGGCCAGCCTCTATCAGGCCCGCTGCCGCTATCTGCAGCCTCGCTGGGCTGACTTCCCGGACCGTATCCTGGATGTGGGCTTCGTGGGCCGCTGGTGGCTACTGGAGGCCCGGATGCGCGACTGCGATATCAACGACGACGAGTTCTTACACCTGCCAGCACATTTGCGCGTCGTCGGGCCCCACCAACTGCATTCTGAGGCCAATGAGCGGCTCTTCGAAGAGAAGTACAAGCCTGTGGTGCTCACTGATGATCAGGTGGACCAGGCTCTGTGGGAGGAGCAGGTCTTGCAGAAGGAGAAGAGGGACAGGCTCGTCCTGAGCCAGGCCGACTCTCTGGTGCAGTTGGAGGAGGTGCCAAGATGAACCCAAGTGAGGCAGGGTCCCTACCGAGTTCCGGCGGACTCTTCACCCGGGGTTGTGCAATTGGTGTGAGTGTGCCGCAGACGCGGTGGCTGAAATCATTTATGTGTGGAGAGTGCTCGCTGGGTATTGACAAAGTCGGGGGGCCTTGTCCCACTCACTTTGTTAGGAGAGAAATTCGGTCTTTTCGGTCTAGTCTAGGAGTTGGTTGGGGTTGAGGGACAGCACCTGTTTATCACTGCCAGAGCTAGTAATGAGCCTTATACATTAATAAGCATTTTTCATCTTGCTTCAGCTTCCTGACTGAGGTGTACACTTGTGACACTCAAACTCAGACTTTCCAGGTTTTCTTCTTTAAGGTTTGAGCTGAAATGTTTTAACATCTTTTTCATTTTCAAGACTATCGTTTAATGTTTAATTTTTAAACGTTTTCATTTAGAGATAATTATAGTCACAGAGTAAACTGGAAGAGGAAGACAGAAACATCCTGTGTATACTTGACCCAGCTTTCTCCAAAAAGTAACATATTATATAAGCAATACCAAACCAGAATACTGACACTATTTGGAATTTCAGGGAAACTTTGCAAACCAACCCATTTTTAACTTGTGTATTGATAGCATTGTTAGAGTGACTTGAAGTGGAAAGTATTTTCTGATCTAGATATCTATGTGGAAACACAGATTCTGGTTATATTATATTTAAGTAACCCAGGAAGCAATACTATAGGAAGGAATACATCACTGTACATACACGGTACTTAAGTTAAAGGAATGAGACTAGCTTTGTCACTTAGGTGGTCTATGGCTAGTTAATAAAACCAGGAGCTGAAACAAACATCTTTGTTGTGATGTGTATTGCCATTCATTCTATGTGTGCACTGGACAAATGGTGACTTTTCTGTCCTTATTTTTGTGGCAGGGGAGCATCTTATAAATCAACATTTCTTGTTTTACAAAGGAAGAAGATTCAATAGTTTATTTTTGCATGGTCAAGATTCGCAACTCTGATTTAGTAATCAAACTTGTGATATTCTCTTCAATCCTAAACAATATCCTGTTAGAAATCATTAAATATTGCTATCACTAGCCAAAAGTAAGCCTTGAATATAAAAATAAATGGAAACTAAAATAATGCAATGAGACAGAAGGCAAATGACAGTTACAGTGTTGTGATCCTACATTGTTAATTTGTCAAAGACTGGACTTAAATACTCACATCTCTGTTGAGATAACTGCAAAGAAAGGTTTGAGACATACTGACATCAAGGTAAGACACACTGACACTTGATCTTTACTGTGATCAGAAGTATTGAAAGAAGACTGCATATCTTCATTGAGTCAGTTTTGACCTGCCACTCTGATTTCAAGCCAGGAGTTTCCTATGCAGACTTCCTTAGCTGTGAAGCGCAGAACAGTGGTTGGCAGCAATTGGCAATGTACTAGGAGGAATTTTGGGCTTTGTCACAGGCCTGAAGTTCACGTGGCTTTATCTTTGGTCAGATGTTCAGCTTTTCTGAGAGTTCATTTTTTAAAAGATTTATTTATTTATGCATATAAGAGCTGGGGTACAGGCCAGAGGTGGGGGTTGAGAAGATTCATCAGAAACAGAGTGGGGAGCAGAACAGGCAGATTGACTGAAATACACTGCGGAAGGGAGCACGCTGGGAATTGAACTCAATCTGCAGTGGTTGCGGGTAGCTTCACAGTGCTGTGCTTTAACCCGTTGTATCACCAGGGAGAGGCCCTATTATTTTTTTGCTCCCCATTCTAGTAGCTTTGGCCTTCAGGGTTTGGTATAAGTTGTTGGGACTGGAGTTGTTAGCTAGGACAGGACCCAGGGTACTTCAATGCTCTACCCCTAAAGCATACCAAAGGGGATGGGTCCAGGTTTTGTTTACTGCTGAGCTCTCAGCATTCCACAGTACTCAGTCCAGTGTGGGCCTTTGCAAGTGTAAGATTTAAAGATATTCTTGTAACTGGGACCTGGTATGTTTCTGGTGAGGAGAGGAAGTGGACTTTCTCAGTCTTTGGCCAGTCCAGGGGAAGACATGCTTAGGTCTCAGGCCTCTGAGGTACTAGAAACAGCCAAGAGGGTGCACAGTCTCCATTTCCCTAAGGGTAGTAGGGCTTGGGGAAAAAGTGGGCTTCAAAGTAGGGTTTCAATCAGGTTTCACACAGAATAGATCTGAAGAAAAGGAAGCAGCCAAATTGGAAAGGAAGTAAAATTGTCACTGTAGATGATATACACAGATAAAAAACAAAACACCTCTAACTTAAGAGCAAGATCACAGGATACAAAATCAATATATGTGTAAATCTGTGCTTAGTACTTTTTATACTGGCACCAAAAAGAATATTGATGAATTTAAGCAAGGTGATGAAACACCTGTACCCAGAAAACTATTAAGACATAAATGGAGGACCCTCCCTGGTGGCGCAGCAGGTTAAAGCACAGCACTAAGAAGCTAAAGCCACTTCCGCATGAGTTCGATTCCCCCCTGCCCCAGAGGTGATCCACATGGTGCGGCAGACCTCTCCTGACCTGCCCGCTGCTCCCCTCAGCAGTGTACTTCACGATTTGCCTGTTCTGCTCCCCACTCTGTCTCTGGTGAAACCTCTCACCACCCCTGAGCCTCTGGCCTGTACCCCAGTTCTGTATGCATAAATAAATCTTAAAAAAAAGAAAAAAGGACATAAATGGAAAGACTCCACACAGGGATATGAAGACTATAGTTAAAATGCCCATACTAAAAATCATCTACAGATTTAATGCAATCGCTACTAAAAGTCCAATGGCATTTTTCACAAAATAGGACAAAATATCTGATTCCATGCCTCTTCCCTTGGGATAGGAGTGGGGTTGCAGGTAAATTATTTCTTAGCCTTCCTAGAGCCTGTTCTTCAGCGACCCTAGGTCATCCATCCAAAGCCTCTTTGGGGCCTGGGTGTGCTTGTCTCTTGGAGTCAAAAGACACTTAATTTAATGCTCATTAATGCGCATTTTTCAGTTCTCCCTTTTCCCTAAAATTAAAGATTTATTCTGTTTATGCATACAAAAATGGGTGTGGGCCAGAGGTGTAGGGCTGGGTGGTGAGAGGATTCACCATAGACAAGGGGGTAGTATAACAGGTGGATCTACTGAAATACACTGCTGCAGGGAGCAGAGGGCAAGGCGAGAGGTCTGCTGCTCCATGCGGGTCAACTTCCTGGTTGGGGGTTGAACTCATGCTGGAGTCCTGACAATTGCTCGACAGTGCTGAAATTTTAACCCCTGAGCCACCTGGGAGGCCCCTAAAATTTATTTTTTGAGTTGCTTTAATCAGGTGGGTTGGAGTTGGCCTCCCAGTAGTTCTTTGGTGCAGAAAACACTGTTCAGATAGACCAGCAGGGGGCAGCAGAGGCTCGGGTGAGACGAGCTGGCTGGCAACTGTCTTAAGGTGTGCTTGGTAATCGCTGACTGGGTTTTGTGAGAAGCAATAGTGAGGTAGTGCATTCTGCACATATATCCGTTTACTTGTTTTAGAACTAGGTAGAATGGGCAAAGTTAGGTCCCACTTCTCGTGTTTATCTTGTTAGCAAAGAGACCACACAACTGCTCCCCTAGACCTCCCCTTCTCTTAACCCAAGGTGCTAGGAGAGGGCAGGATAGCCTGACTGGTCCTGGGAATTCATCCAGATCTCTAGTTTTCTGGGAGTTGTATTGAGGTACCCAAGGCCCTTGGAGCTGGGCTACGACAAGGCAGAGCCTTAGGGGATTTAAGGAGGCACCCCTGGTGTCTAGCAAACGCAGGGCTGCCCCTTCATCCCAGCCCTGTCTGGAAGCAGGTCCTGTCAGATCACCTGCCAGTGCCTGTTGGGCTTTTCCAGATGTGCTCTGATCAAATGCAAAAAGTTTCATTTTTTTTACACTTTAAAAGATTAGGTGGGGGCCCTCCCTGGTAGTGCAACGGGTTAGGATGCAGCACAGCAAGCAAGACATAGCTGCTTCAGTGTGAGTTCAAACCCTGGCCACGGAGGTGATCCACATGGCGTGGCAGACCTTTCCTGACCTGCCCATTGCTCAGTAATGTACTTTGTTGATCTGCCTGTTCTGCTCCCCACTCTGTCTCTGGTGAATCCTCTCACCGTCCATGTACCTCTGGCCTGTACCCCAGTTCTGTATGTATAAATAAATAATTTTTTTTTTTTTTTAAAGATTAGGTGGGTTACGAAGGGCATAGTCAAAGGTGGGAGGGAGAGCTGCCTGATGCCATTAGTGCTCATAGCCACAGGAGGACTTGAGAAAGGTCTTTAAAACAAATATACAAGAAGTCTGTGGCTAAGAGGACAAGACTAACTGCAGGATCCCGGCCTGGGCACATGATGGGTGAGAAGGAAGCGACCTGGGAGCAGCACTTGAAGGACACAGTGAAGAATCCCTCCATTGTTGAAGTCTTGTGCACAGCTTCACAAAGACTTGATTTGGCCTGCTGTGGGACCCTGTCAGATGAGCATGCTGGGTGATACCTGTTCTGGCTCAGCAAGCAGCTAAGCTAACCTCAGGCCCCACTGATATTCCTGTGGGGTGCCTAGAATCAGATAATGGGAACATTACGATCCAGAAACATGAAAGCATCACATTGGCGTGCACAAAATGCCCTCCTGACTACCTAAGTCATTCCTGCAGTCTGCCAAGGCACTCGAGCCTACATGTGTCTGTCGTCTTATAGCAGTATTCAAGTTCTGGTAGTCAAGTCTTTTTTTTTTTTTTTTT